CTCTTCGTCTTCTTCGTCATCGTCTTCTTATTCTTCTTTTTCTTCTTTTTCTTCTACTTCTTTTTCCTCCTCCTCCTCCACCTCCTCCTCCTTTTTTTCTTCCTCCTCTTCTTTTTCTCCCTTCTCATCTTCTTCTCCCTCCTAGCTCTCCTTCTCCTTTTTCTCCTCCATCTCATGCTTGCTCTACTATTTACTTAAATTCTATTCCAATATCTCCTACTACTTCTGCTTCTTCTTCTTCATCCTCTTGTTCTTCTTCTTTCCTCCAAGCTTTTTCTCAGGGTGTAGGGACTGGCGATCGAAAGAAGCCAAATAGCCGAGGTGAGGGCGAGAAGGAGCGAAGCTATGCACTAGAAGCGCTGCGGGGGGCTGCTGGATGACTCGAGCGGGGTCTTTCATCAAAAGTGCATCGGCGGGGTGCGGCGGTGGAAAAGGAGGGCGGAGGGAGGGAGGTGGTTGTGGGGAAATTGATGACCAGTCGCCGCCCTTTACCTGTTGGCCGAGTGTGAAGCTAATAATCACATTTTAGTGGAAGCGATACTGCTTGTCCGCACGCGGCGTCCTCGCCAGTTTCCACCACCACCGCCGCCACCATCCCTGTATGTATTTATTTTGTCCATGGATACGGATACCGCCCTCGCGTCCCATCCCCAATCACCCAACCTCTCCCCACCGTAACTCACCGTTGCTGTGCGCCACACTTTCCAAGCTGACTCCAAACGGGGGCTACACTTTGTTTTTTCTCCTTCATTTTCTTTTTCGTTTTCTTTTATCCTTTCTACTTTTTCTAATTTCCTTATGCCTCTCCTTCTTCTAATACATGGTGCATCAGCCTGTTTGTCCTCTACTCTCCCTTCATCTTCTTTTTGCTTTTCTTTTATGTATATTTCTATGTTTATTTTTTTATTTCTTCTGCTCCTATATTTTATCCTTCACTTTCATTTAACCTTCTTCCTCTTTTATTTCTCACAACTCTCTCTCCCTTTTCTCTTCATTTTAAACCATACTTTTGTTTTCTCTTCTTCCTATTCATCTACTTTAATTTCATCCTCTATTTTAAATTCTATCTATTTCTCTTGGATGCACAAGCCGGAGGTTTACAGATCGATCGAAAAAATAACTGACATCAGATTAAAAAATTAGAGAGAAATTAAGAGTTAGGGTTTTTTTTTGACAACTACTCCTAAAAATCCCAAGGCTGCTCTAACTGACCTGACCATCTCCTTTGGGAGAATACTGGCGCCGATACATATGAACCTTATACAGGTCTACAAATACATCCTAAAAGCTAACCAAATATTAGATATAAAAGAAGAAGAAAAGTTGAGGATCAGCACAGCCAAAGATAGGAGAGACGTAATTGAGCTTCGTTTTTTAATTTTCCTCCCAAATCTGAGCGAGAATCCAGTGGTATAACGTAGAGCGAAGATTGCGAGTTCACGCCTCACGCCATAGCGCCTTCAATTTTGCAGACGCAACACGGACATCCATCAAGAACGAATAGTTGTATCTCTGCGCCGTCATCACCGCGCGTCCTTTCCCTTGCTCCATTTCCATGTTGTGTTGGCTCCGTTTGTCTTATTTGAAATGGTGCTTCAAGGGCCTCGTGAGCAACATAGCCGAAGATAGGGGACACGTAATTGAGCCTCGTTTTTTGACTACTCTCCCGAATTTGTTTTTGTTGTAAAAGTTACAAACGGTTTAGTTTCTTGTTCAATTTTGTTATATGACTCAGTATTGACGTACTTTTAGTTCATTTCAATCGTTTTACCAGCCTTACCCTTCCTGAAGACTTTGTTTCATGCATAAAAAAGTGTNCTTTTCAATAATATAACGGGATTTTTACTACCGGTGATTTGGGTATTTTAGCCCCAAAATACCTTTAAATCGACTTTATCTTCTAGGAGTTCGACAGAATTTTTCCTTTCTTCGCTTAAATTATTCCGTAGCACTTTTCTTTAAGAATCTGATAAGGTTTTGCTTGGGGCAGATCAAAAAACTTAAACTCGTTCGAATGGCTTTTAACATTCACAATACACGATCTCGTCAAAGTGCGTCGTTGACCTCTCAGTGTTGGATCGTGAATTCTCTTTTTATGCTGTTTGCCTATTTTGAAATCTCTGTAAATGAAAACTAAAGGGGTTGATATGTGCGAGTTAATGACGCGCCTTATCAACACATTGTGTTGGAGTTCACTGCTTGTTTTAATTTTCCTCCCAAATCTGAGCGAGAATCCAGTGGTATAACGTAGAGCGAAGATTGCGAGTTCACGCCTCACGCCATAGCGCCTTCAATTTTGCAGACGCAACACGAACATCCATCAAGCACGAATAGTTGTATCTCTGCGCCGTCATCACCGCGCGTCCTTTCCCTTGCTCCATTTCATTGTTGTGTTGGCTCCGTTTGTCTTATTTGAAATGGTGCTTCAAGGGCCTCGTGAGCAACATAGCCGAAGATAGGGGACACGTAATTGAGCCTCGTTTTTTGACTATTCTCCCGAATTGGTTTTTGTTATAAAAGTTACAAACGGTATAGTTTCTTGTTCAATTTTGTTATATGACTCAGTATTGACGTACTTTTAGTTCATTTCAATCGTTTTACCAGCCTTACCCTTCCTGAAGACTTTGTTTCATGCATAAAAAAGTGTTTTCAGTAAAAATAGCGGATGTCACATTTTTTTTTTCAAATCGCTGTTACTCCTTCAATTTTTCACTTACATAGATCTTAAAACGTATGTTTTTTTACCGGAAGAGTTGCTCTCCATGAAAATCTTTATGAGAATCCTCTCGGTTCTACGGGCGGAAAAGCGCTACAGATCAGTCCTCATATAGTGGAGCATCGCGAATCTACGCTGCGTGCCAGAGCGCCTTCAATTTCGCAGACGCAACGCGGACATCCGCCAAGCACGAATAGTCGTATCTCCGCGCCGTTATCAACGCACGTCTTTTCCTTTGCTCACTTTTCTTATTAGGATATTCCCGCCCATGCGCGAGGGACTGGACCTCCATCCTGATACCCCGGACAGGATTGCGTGGAAAAATCTCTCTTGAAATTTCAAAATATAAAATGCTCAAGTTTCCCAGAGAAATCTCATGTTATGAAACGACCTTCGGCAACGTCCGAAAGCCCATACGACGTTTTTCCAAAGCACGGTAGAATTTTTGTGCGACCCCTCGGCCGTTTCTCGTCTCTGCTCACGTTCCACCACGCCGCGGCCGGCGCTGCTACACCATAAAAACAAACTGGAAAAGTTCCCTTATTTACAGAGTCCTCGAGCCGCGGGCAGCAGGACTCATACCGAAGATAAAAACCGTTCAACGGTTTCATCACACCATTAACGGATAACGCTTTTCCGCGACCCACCCTCGCCGTTACATCGCGGTGATAACCTGGCTATGGACGCTCCTCCAGCGTCGATTACTTTCCCCGATAACCGTTTGGTTTTCAAAGCGCGTAAGCGTCAATCCAGGATTAGCGGGAATCCGGGATTAGGGAGAGTCACTGGGCTCTTGGATAGGGTCCCTTACGCGGTTCTGTAATTAAACGGTTCTGTGCGGTTGCAGTACGAACTTCTTCATAAACGAAATAAAAACGGGGTTTGCTTTAATTAAATTGCTGATGAGTGTTCTGTCTACTTTGGTCTCTCCAAACGGCTCTCCGAAAAATTACTGGGACCAGAATCTGATTGCGCCCTCCCCCCCCCTCCCCCCTACTCAGCAAATTGTTTGGATGCATCTCAAATTCTCAACAAAGAAAAACATTTCCTTGACGTTTCGGCTAGGTGCAGAATGAGGGTCGTATTTATAGTCGTCTCTGACAGTTTCATGTCAGTGCCCCAGAGCTAAAAGGTTGCAAGAGCTAGAGCCTATTCACATTTTTGGAAAAATTGAGTTAATGACGTTTCTTAAATTTAATTTTTGAAACATTTTGTAGGTTTTGCAAAGTATTTTAAGGTGAGTCAGTCTAAAATTGATTTGTTCAATTATAGAATATTCTCCTCCATAATTCGATTTTTTCCAATGGGAAAGCTGTGTATGTGTAATCCTGTGCAAGGATCCAAATCCAAAATTATTCAATCGGGTTTTACTCGAGGCTCGTGAAAATGATTGTCCTTATTATGATATGTTGAAAGTGTTCTTAAAACCATCTTTATCAAGATGTAAACCGCATGGGACCTCAACTCGCCACTTGGGACGCAGCAATTTACACAACGAGCAGGGAATCGAGTCAATGTAAGAGGTTGGACACAATTTGGATACTTTAAAAGCTCATAACTCCATTTATACAAAAATTTGAGGTTCTAAAAATGGTTGCATTGGTTTCCTCGTGGAATTTTCTTCTAAGGACACCCCTTGAAATTCAAAAGTTTGACGAAATAGACATCAAAATCTGCAGTTTTCGTCAATAATTTCATGTCCGACCTCTCCGATTGACTCAATCCACTGTTCCACGACCCCGATCCTCGACTTGTTTTGTATTTTTTTTTTCACGGTGTATTGTATCCAGTGTTTGAAACTCACCTTTTAGTTTTGGGAGCCGTGTGGCGCATCAAGCCCGACGTTTAGGCGCCATTGAAGATTTTTTTAGGGGTCATATTGACTTTTTGCCTATATATTAAAGCGAATTTAGTGAAAAGTTAGACGCAAGATGTTTTCGTAACAGAACTAGTAAGTAGCTGTAACTTGAGGGAGACAAAAGCACTAAGAATGAAATCGTGAAGAATAGAAAAAGCAAGCTTTCACTTGTAGTGCTCAAAATGTTGAGTTTTTTCGATTCAAATAGATTTGTTTTCCTTTCTTTATGTGACTTCCAGTGAAAATCCAGATTTTAGGGGGCAATTTTTAGGGGTCACGTTGGCGCAGAGCCTTCATTTTTTAGGCACCATGGCCGATTTTTTAGGCGCATTTGGCGCGTTGGCGCCTGTGAGTTTCGAACACTGATTGTATCATAAATTTTGATCTTATCAAATTGATAATGTGATGTTTTAAATCTATGTGCAGATCGACTTGAAGCATATTAACCAGAAGGCCGGAGCGGACATGGTGGAGGTAGGAATTGATTTACGGGAGTACTATCCCAGCGTGGAATGGGACATTCTCGGAGTGCCTGCGGAGCGCCACGAGAAATATTACCCGTGCTGCAAGGAGCCTTACCCAGGTATGCAGCATGCACTCCCTGCATTTCAGCCCATTTCAGCCCTTAATTTACTCGCCGAGTCCCGCTTTTAGCACATAAAGCTGACGTCCGTGTTCATTTACTCCTGTTCTCGTCTCTCTTGACCGATGCTCCGGGCAAATTACATGCGTTTACTCATTGTTGCACCACAATGCAACTCTCGGGAAAGTCGAGCATTCAAGGTTTAACAAATTAATCCTTTAAATGAGAAGGATAAAGTTTACTAGAGCACCTTTACTTAGAAAGTACGGACGTATTCGTTTGATGGAAGCCTCAGAGCCCTGAAGGCAGGCAACCTCCCCAAAATTCTTTCACGACAGCTTAGAAGTCTAATTCGGAGACTAATTAAGGAGCTTGGAGGACAAGGCACAAAAGTGCAATTTTTGAAAAAATTGAAATATTAATGATTTCAGTTAAAGCTAGTCTTAATTCATATCCTGTGAAAAATTCCCTCCCAAATTCCAATATTTAAGCATCACTAAGTCAGTTTGAACTTTCTTTTCACCATAAGGATACATTTACTTTCGAAACTTCTATCGCGTATTTCTCAAAATAGCAAAAACTGCACTTATGCGCTTTGTCCTCCAAGCCTCTGAATTCAAATCCGTGTTTTAGATCATGTCTCAGCCCTTCATGAACGAATCTTTATTCTGATAGGGAAAATAGTGATACATGAAATAACTGGAATAATAACAGGTATTTGAAATCATAGGTAGGCTATCTCTCTAGGCCCTGACTTATCACGCCAAAAAGAGGTAGGGGTTGAGTCCCGATTTAGAAATTTCCAATTAATTGTGGTACTACCCCAATAAGCTAGATGACCAACCCAAATGTTGCGGTACTACCAAAATTAATTGAAAATGCCTATATATCATCAAAAGAATTGTGGTAGAACTACAATTTTCGGGGGTAATCCCTGACAAAGTTTATCCGTGTTTAGGAGAGGAGTTGTTGCAAGGACCTGATGGATCATCCGCCTTCCTCACTGGTGATTATAGGACATTTCGTCAACGATTTTTCGTCCGCGTACCTGTTTTCTCCAGTACTTTACGTCCACGCGTTTTTTTCGGCAAATTATGCTAAACGTTATTACATTCGGATGCTAGGACTTAGGAAGTTTTTGGACTACCGCTCTCCTTTTGTGCCACAATATCTTGATTTATTTTGCGAGGGAAGCTCCGTATTCTTAAAGGATGCCTGTCATTCTTAATATGTTGGAGCGCCTTCAATTTTCTTATGATACTGTGCAACACCTGTGTTGTGAAATAGTTGTTTGGCAACTACTTCACACGCCGCCGTGGCACGCTGCGGCGCAGCGGGCAGCCGGCCAGCCCGCATTGGCGCCTACAAACCTAAGGGGATACTTCAAGCATTGCGCAATGCGTGAAGTATCCCCTTAGGTTTGTAGGCGCCAATGCGCGTTTCGCGCTGGCAGCACGCCGCGGTCGTTCCGTTCTGTGTTAGGCTCTAATAATTAAACTCGTGGAGTCAGCGATTTTCAACTCATGATTTTGAAATATTTGAATACTCTGCTTGGGTTATTCTCATTTAAATTGATGGAAAAAATAAGTAAAAAAGAAAAATATAAACGTGTGTTTTGCAAATATTAAGGTGGTTTCGCGTCGAATTTAATGATTTTCAAAGCACTTTGATTTTTTCTTTTATATTTTGTACATTTATTGGGCTTCCACTTTATTTGGGGACTCCACAACTGAAAACACGGCAGCCCTGTCAATGTATTTGCTCCCTATCTTTGCATGGAAAGTTTGTCTTGATGTAGAGGTGCGGACTCTCAGGGTAGGGTGGGAGATCCCCTCCATTTTGGCCTCAACTTGAGAGCTTTTTTTTGAGCTTGGGAGTTAATTTCAGAGAAAACCAGTGGCACCATCGTGTTTCTCGAAAACTTTTACATAAGAATCAGTAGTCAAATCGCAAATTCCTCACACCTGCAACATCTCCATTTTCTCATTTTGATACTGTCATTATAATATTACATGGATAAAAATATAACACTTGGGCCGAGTCACTGTTGCTTATTTTACGCGTGGACGTAAACTACTGGACAAAACGAGTGTGCGAACAAAAAATCGTTGACAGAATGTCCTGAAACCTCACTGGTTCATATCCTCTCCCCCTCCCCATGAAGATACTCTGAGATTCACTGTGAAACGATCGGTGAAAATATACCGTTTATTGAATCGATTCATTTCGGATCATTGACCATATTTTGAGTGTTTAAATTATAAAGTATTATCATATTTTACATCATTTTTTCATCTTGAGGGTGATCAAGAGAAGCGCTTGGCACTTTTTTAGAGGGTGTAAAAATGCATTTCGGGTGCACTGGAGAGAAAACACATTGGATCTAGAGNGTGAAGTATCCCCTTAGGTTTGTAGGCGCCAATGCGCGTTTCGCGCTGGCAGCACGCCGCGGTCGTTCCGCTCTGTGTTAGGCTCTAATAATTAAACTCGTGGAGTCAGCAATTTTCAACTAATGATTTTGAAATATTTGAATACTCTGCTTGGGTTATTCTCATTTAAATTGATGGAAAAAATAAGTAAAAAAGAAAAATATAAACGTGTGTTTTGCAAATATTAAGGTGGTTTTGCGTCGAATTTAATGATTTCCAAAGCACTTTGATTTTTTCTTTTATATTTTGTACATTGATTGGGCTGCCACTTTATTTCGGGACTCCACAACTGAAAACACGGCAGCCCTGTCAATGTATTTGCTCCCTACCTTTGCATGGAAAGTTTGTCTTGATGTAGAGGTGCGGACTCCCCTCCATTTTGGCCTCAACTTGAGAGCTTTTTTTTGAGCTTGGGAGTTAATTTCAGAGAAAACCAGTGGCACCATCGTGTTTTTCGAAAACTTTTACATAAGAATCAGTAGTCAAATCGCAAATTCCTCACACCTGCAACACCTCCATTTTCTCATTTTGATACTGTCACTATAATATTACATGGACAAAAATATAACACTTGGACCGAGTCACTTTTGCTTATTTTACGCGTGGACGTAAACTACTAAACAAAACAAGTGTGCGGACAAAAAATCGTTGACAGAATGTCCTGAAACCTCACTGGTTCATATTCTCTCCCCCTCCCCATGAAGATGCTCTGAGATTCACTGTGAAACAACTGGTGAAAATATACCGTTTATTGAATCGATTCATTTCGAAGCATTGGCCACATTTCGAGTGTTTAAATTATGAAGTAATTTATCAACCCTTGAGGATGGTCAAGAGAAGCGCTTGGCACTTTTTAGAGGGTGTACAAATGCATTTCGGGTGCACTGGAAAGAAAACACATTGGATCTAGAGTCCAGACTCTTGAAAACATTGACAAGAAAAAGGACTCTTGATTCAATCAGATTTAAACTTAAATCAAAAGGAAATCCGCTCAAATTAAGAGGCTTGGTTCTTGATTTAAGCTTAAATCTGATTGAATCACTGCGGTCAGCGTCAAACTCATACCAGCGCCTGCAAGGCTGTAGGAATACTTCACGCATTGCGCCAACCAGTGCTGTTGGCGTCAGACGCATATTAGCGCCTACAAGACTGCATGAATACTTCTCGCATCGCACCAAACGCAATGCGAGAGTTGTTTGCGATAAGTATTCGACTACGGGTATGGGCACATTGCCACTAGCTGGATTGAAGACGCATCACAATCAAGAGTATTTTTTCTTGTCGATGTTTTTAAGAGTCTGGATTCCAGATCCAATGTGTTTTTTTCCAGTGTGCGTTAGAGAGGGTGGGAGTATGGTAAACAAATAAAATTTTCAGTGCCACATATTCTATGAAAGAACCTTAAATTTACAAGTATCCTAACCAAAAATGCTCAGTTTAATATTTGCATCGTGCGAGTGGGCAGTGGGTGCATCCCCATTGGCAAAAATACGCTCGGCTTGGCGGGCACACATCGGAACCATAAAAGTCCTCATATACATGGCGCTTGCCGAGTGGTCATTATTTACTCCTTCTCGCAGTTATTTATCCTCTACGCCGTAAGTTATTTATCCTTTATTGCGCCAGGCAAGTTACGAACAATAAAGCCCGCGCTGAAAATTCAGCTCCGGGGCTTTTTATCCTCTACTTTATAAGGCTATTACTGCCGTGCTGAGGAAGAACGCCGTATGAGCATTCGAGAGTTGCCAAATTTCCTCCCGTAAAACGTTTATTTTAGTGGAAAAATGTCAATTTTTCTCGTTGACATTTTCAGGAAATTTAGAACAAAATACGAACAAAATTCTCTGAAAAATTGAGAGAAAAATATTCGTAAGTTTACCAGGGAATTTGCGTTTTGTCAAAGGAAATTTGGCAACGCCTGGAGGTTCATACGGCGTTTTTCCTCAGCACAGCATATTAGGAGCCGCCTCTGCCGACAAAACAGCGGCGAATCATTATTCTCGCGACGGGTCATTCCTCCGATTTTAACGGGCTCCTGTGTCTCAGACACTGCGACGCGACGCAGTTTGTAAAAATATATCCGCAGCGAGGTTTTATCGGGGGTAAGGGAGGGAGGGGTGTCCGCGAATTCCGGGACATCTGTTCACGGAACGGACGTCCAGGTACGTTGCGGAGTGTTGAGTGACGTAAATCCATTACTTTTGCTCGTGAAAAAATGTACCTTATGTTACCTACATCGGGCAATTGGTTTTTTGTCAAGGTGACATTCTACCAATGTCACATGATATTTTATGGGGAAAACTGGAAAAATGTTTTTGCCCCCCTTACAGAAAAGTAAATTAACGGTGAGACCGCAAAAACGCCTGACTCAGTTTGCGGCTTTGCGAACTTCAATTATTTTTCAAATGGAAAAATACCTAGCGTCATACTTGGAAAACGTCCCTGATATTTTTGTATGTGTGAAGAATATTCCGTGAGATTTTTAATGAATATTAACCCATACTCCAAAAAAAAAATGGGCTATTTGCTGCGTATTTATCTGGTTTAGGAAAGTCCGTAATAGATTATTTGGACTGCGTTAAACAGAAAGGAACCAAGCCACATCAGCTATTGCCAAATTTAATAGAGCAATCTAATTTTCAACAAGAGAACGTTTTTGCGGATTCCTTTGACATTTTTTAGGAATTTGCTTCGTACTACGCAGATAGTTCACTGAAATTTGCAGAAAAATCCGCAAAACCGTTGTTGGGTAAAAAATTAAATTGCCCAATTAGATTTGGCAATAGCATGATGTGGCTTGGTTCCTTTCTGTTTAACGCGGTCAAATTGGGCATCCATGATTATTTAATATTGTTGCTCTGCTTAATCTTGCTAAACATTGAAAGAAACTCAAACTAGCCACATCATTTTGGCCTTTTTGCAGTAATTTGGCTTACATTTTGTCCGGAACCAACAACCATTTAAGTGCATAAAGAACACCACGGAGTATAGACACGTTTTTACCGCGTGGGCTTTCCAAAATTCCAGAAATTAGGGCCGAAAATAATCTGTTTCGGTACAGCCATCTGTCAATTCCAGGATAAAATGCCAGCAACCACTAACCACTAAGCTAAGCTTGCCGGCATAGCTATCTTTATTTTAACTAGAAGAAATATTTTTAAGTGCGGCAACGATGCGATGCTACGGACAAACGACCGATAAGCGGATGAAGGCGATCCGATTTGATAAAGAAAAAAAAGCCCGGCCCAAACACAAAATCCTACGACAGTTTTCTTAACCCTGTCCACGCGATTCAGAGGGGGGAGGGGCCAGGAAAACCAGGAAAAATTGAGGGACTACATTTCTAGCCGAGGATAATACGCTACCACGCGGTCATATATCACGAGTTATTCGGGAGCTCCTAAATCCAGCGGCGCGCACTATGGTTTTTTTAACATCGGAACCTGGCCAAAGCCCAAAGTTCAATCACATTTCTTTCACAGACACTGATCCGGAATTCAGAATCTATTGGGTTTTTTGGCACGAATCTTTCATAAACTTAAACTTAAAATTAGTTTATTGACACCAAGAAACATAGAAATATTTATTAACATTTCGGGAGAAAAACGCCTATAAAAGTTAAAACAAACCAGAAGTGGTGTGGAAATTAAGTTTGCAGTTTAAAGAAAACGCAGTGTCAAGTAAACGATATTTCAAACACTGATATGATAAACTCAGAGTTCGGAATTGCCAGCTATTATGAATTTGAACGCCCTTTTTAAGCATGGAAAGTAATGATCATAATTTCTTTGAATTGTATTAATTAGCTATGCACAAATTCTTACTATCATAAATTGGACGGCATTAACTGAAATCAGCCCAACTAAATCAGACTTCCCAATTTTTTTGCATTTTTTGTTGAATTAAGACAAGAAAATTAAGCAAAAACCTGACTTGAAATTGTGTGAGCTACTTCTTTACAAACCATAGAAAATGTCTTTAAAGTTTGAGGATTATGCCGTTTAATTCTCTGCCGTGCAACGCAAAAACGCCGTAAACGCCATTTTTAATTTTTTGGAAACAATGTATCATAGCAGGATCACTTGTGTACCCTGGGACAATTTTTTTTACAGAATTCTTTCGCAAATACTATGATAACTTAACCTGAAAATTTGAGGTGCATGGGTAAAATAGTTTGTATATCATAAAGTGTTGAGCTCCAAAAAACGGGGAAAATCTTGATGGTTTTACGGCGTTCTTGCTCAGCACGGCAGTTCTCTGTTAAAAAAAGACAACTCGAACGAAAATTAGGCAAAATATGACTTCACATAAATGTAAAACGGACCGAATTTTGCTATTTGGAACCACAATTTATGGCTCAGTTCAGAAACGACGTATGTACTATCAGTTTCCCTATGCAAATGAGTGATTTTACAAATGGGCTAGGCGCTAGGACTACAATTCCTAAATTATAGTCCTAGCTGCAAAATGTAGTCCAAATGGACTGATTCTGGCTAAATCCGTCCAATTCATCACAAGTAAGTCTCGGTCAAGTTTTGAGACAAAAAGCCCCTATGTGCGGCGGGCAAAAAGTCGATCCATTGAATGGAGAAGCCCGCGGAATAAGTTGGGCAATTATCGTCTCCCCTCCAACGAAAGGACAGAACTCCGCTCTCGAGCGAGCCGTGGAACGGATGGAGTCATACGAACAGCAGATCTCATCTCGGAGTGCAATCACGTCCTAAGGTCAGCAGGACAACGTCACGAGACGCATCCCTTACGTCCCCCGCGGAACTCGCACAGGGAGGGGCGGGGAGGGAAGGAAGTAATTTATGGGGGAAATAAATCTTGAGTATGTGAGCTTCGGTCCCTTATCTGATACTTGACGTCGCTGATGCCCTATCGGCATGGCGCGGTGTGGTCACCGGTCAAAGCGCCGCGTCCCGCGTCACCGCTCACCGCGGAAATTCCTCCAGTGCCGGATTTCAACTCTGCTTTCTCAACTTCCTCACCGCAGGGAAAGACCCTTTGATATTATCAATGGACCAACATCTAGGGGAGATTGCAAACACTGCAACAAATATCTTAATAGACGTATCCATAGGGGACTCTTGAGGAGCCCCCCCCTACGCTGCCATGCTAAGGAGGAACGCCGTATGTACATTCGAGAGTTGGCAAATTGCCTCAGATAAAAGATGAATTTTACGGGAGAGTTGTGCATAGATTTCCTTCAAATTTTGAGATATTTTAGATTGAAAAGTGTACAAAATGGTCTGAAAAATTCGAGGAAAAATATCCAACAGTTTTCTTGAAAATTCGTATTTTATCGGAGGACATTTGGCAACGCCTGATGGCTCATACGACGTTCTTCCTTAGCACGGCAGTACAGAGGACTGTCCGCTTCCTGAAAAGTTATTGAGATCGTATTAAGTTGTTCACCAAGAGTAGACCCTATATGAAAGATGATTGGGTCTTTACTTCTCCCGCTTAACATTTTCCCCAAAAGCTTTTTCATATTTCATAGTTAAAATTTAAAAAATAATGCGATGTGTACTTGAAAATTTCCTAATTCAACCTCTTTCATAGTAATGCGCGATTTTTATGACCATTGATTCAAACTTCCGCGTTTCCAAAGCGCCTAGGCCTACATGAATCAAATTTAACACTAAACTATTTTAGTATTTCGTGAACGCGCTGGAGTGATTTTCTGTATTTGCTGCATTTTTGTTCCAGTCAACCTGGCAGCAGTGCGGAGTGATTTACTGCGCCTCGATCGACTTCGGTCCCTTCAGGGCGCAGGAACCATTATGAAAAAGTTCATCTGAGCATCGCAAGCTCAGCCCCAGGGAGCACATACTAATCTCGTAGTCCGTGGCGCGAGGGGGAACTTTTTCTGAGCCCCCAAATAAAAGGTCTTAAAGGATTTAAACTCGCATCAAAAGCTCCCCGATGCTGAATCAAATGAATGTTTGATTAAAATCAGCGCAGGGCTAGTCATAAATATGTGAAGCGATTTTTGAGTCGTGGATTCTCGAATAATGTCAGGTCTCACACCCACACTCTGAAATAAGGGTCGGGGAGGGTTGAGAGGGGTTGTTTTGTGACATTTTGAGTTAGGAAAGTTCAATATTGGAAGTTACTCCAGCGCTGGCAGACAATGTTTTCCACGCCATTCATTTTCTCATTTCAACATTTGAATTTAAAGTCCAATTCCGCCATCCCCCGGGGGTAGAGATATTATTTAGAAAGTGTCAATATTCACGAATACAATATATATTTTGTGTATGAAAGGATGTATAGTAAGGTGTTGGAACTTAAAATTTTCAGTAAGGCCCTACTCTTCAAACAATCAGTGCATGGAAATTGTAAAACTTGCATTATGATTTTAAACCGATTTTACTTTTCTCNNGGGGCTGGAGAAAGATCCTTGCCCGATGGGTGACCCAACCTCCCCTTCACGCTGTCAGAAAGCTGCGCAGTGATAAAGCACCTCCTCCGAGGGGAAAAATTATCGTTTCTCTTAACATGATACCATGTTGACGCCATCGTGGTGCCAATGTGTGACCTATGCGGTGTACCATCTTATTACCAACCTTCACAATTACATACTGGTTTCATTGTGGTCTCTTCGAGCAAGTTGATATAATTTTGAATACATTTGACAACATTTTGACCCCAACATGCTCCATTTTGGACCGTATGGACCATGGTAACATATGACCTCAACATGTCATCAACATGAGCAGAGAGCTGCAATTATTGCAAATATTAGCGATAGAGAATTTGCAGGTGTCTGAAATTTGATGAATTTCGTGTTTAAGTGGAAACTACTGAGTGAACTGAACACGAGGATACCCTTGGTTCATGAATTGAACAATAATTGGAGAGAATATGACAAAATGATCTAATCTGCTGAAATACCTGTGTTCAAATGGGAAATGCTGCCTGATGACGTCACTAGGCGGTGCATTTTCTCACTTTTAAATCTACTTGCATACTGTTTCCCATATCAGAAAAAAATCGTAAAAATACTGTGAAATCAACTCTTTAGGCACTTTCAGATAAAGCAATAAAAAATTTGCATGCAAATTCTCCAGTATTGCAATAATTGCAATTATTTCGGTCCTGGTGATAATATAGAATGGAAAAGTTGCGTGCAATTTTTTTATTACTTCATCTGAAAGTGCTTTAAGAGCTGATTTCACAGTATTTTTTGCAATTTTTTTCTGATATGGGAGATAGTATAAAAATAGATTTCAAAGGATTTCAAAGTGAGAAAATACGCCGCCTTGTGACGTCATCTGGTGGTATTTCCCATTTGAACACATGTATTTTAGCAGATTAGATCATTTTGTCATATCTTCTACAATAATCGTTCAATTCCTGAACCAAGGGTATTCTCGTGATCAGTTCACTCAGTAGTCTCCCCTTAAACACGAAATTCATCAAATTTCAGACACCTGCAAATTCTCTAGGTATTGCATTGTAGTGGTGGATCTTACTCCTGCATTACTCCGATCCCAGGAATATCGTTGAATTCAGCTCAATGTGCTCTGTGTTTCAGACATCTTCTTCAACCTGACCCTTCGGCGGAAGACGCTGTTTTACACGGTGAACCTGATTGTGCCGTGTGTGGGGATCTCGTACCTGTCGGTGTTGGTGTTCTACCTGCCGGCCGACTCCCGGGAGAAGGTGGTGCTCTGCATCACGATCCTCCTGTCGCAGACCATGTTCTTCTTGCTCATCTCCGAGATCATCCCCTCGACCTCGCTGGCCCTTCCCCTTCTCGGCAAGTACCTCCTCTTCACCCTCGTCCTCATCGGCCTCTGCGTCGTCATCACCATCGGCGTCCTCAACGTCCACTACCGAAAGCCCAGCACCCACAAGATGGCCCCCTGGGTCCGAAAACTCTTCATTCGACGACTTCCTAGACTCCTCTTGGTGAGCATGATGGCATTCCAGTTAGAGGCGGATACAGCAATTTGGCAACACCGGATTTCCTCCGTTGAAACTTATGCTAAATAATCGATTCTTGGCGGAGCACCTGGCCCCTCCAAGAATCGATGCATTTCCATAGATTTAAATGGAGAAAAGACAGTGTTGCCAATTTACCGGATTCCAGTTAGCAGCAATTCCAAGTTAAAGGGAGATTTCAGGCCAGAGGATTTTCAGGGGCTTTTAGATATTTTGCGATCAAATAATTTGGGTTTTGGTCAGTTGAAGCTGTTGTTTTGAAAGAAAAAATCACTTGGGCTTATTCCTTTAGAAATGAGAGGAAATGGTCGAAAAACCAAGTTTTCTACCCTAAATATAAAAGTCCATCTGCAACTCCGTAGACTCCCTTTTTAACTTGGAATTTAGATAATTTAAAGCTATGAATGAATTCAATATTTATAACTTTAGAAATTAGCCACTTTTCATGGATTATTGTCCATAACTCAAACATTTAGAAAGGATCTTTCTCTGACTGCGATTGCTTTTGAAAAAACTTAACCACGGGAAAAGCCTTTTATTTTGATCTGCATTACGCACCTCTGCAGATTTGCTGTTCAATTTCAGGACAATCTTTAAATATTTAAAATTCAAGAAAAGTAGTGTAAAATAAATTACGATGGGCATGACTCGTCAATGATTATAAATAAGACACTGACAAGATATTGTCAAACCCATCCTTACAATAGGTAATTTAAAAAAAAAAAAAAAAAAAAAAAAAAAAACCCAATGTAGATTGTTCAGTGCTGCTTGGTGCAGTCCAATCTTGATGTTGGTCCTCAATTGTTTTGGTGATGAATGTTTCAGATGCGGGTGCCGGAGCAGCTGCTGATCGACATGGCGGCAAAGAAGCGGCTCAAGAACGCGACGTCGGCCAAGTTCAACGCAGCCCTAGCGGCCTCCTCGCTGGGCTCCTCGACGGAGTCCCTCCGGGGCCGGCACCCGTACATGCCGGGCGGTGGCCCCGGCTGCAACGGGCTCCACGCCAACAACGGCGTCACGAACCGGTTCAACTCCCTCGTGGGCGCCCTCAGCGGCAGCGTCGAGGCTATGAACAACGGTCATGGGCATGGGCACCCCGTGGTGGTCGCCCAGGACGACAACCTCAGTGACGCCCCTCAGAGGAAGAAGTACCCCTTCGAGCTCGAGAAGGCCATCCACAACGTCAAGTTCATCCAGCACCACATCCTCCGCGAGGACGAATTCGATGCCGTGAGTAACAAAGTATCTTTAAATTGGACGTTTTACGTTAAATGGAAAGTGGGAAAATGCACAAGTTGCGTCAGTGTGCAAGTGGAAAGGTGGGGTGTGCCTGTTAGTTGCACTGAGAAAAAAATCTCGGTGTATTTACTAAGAAAAGGGTAAAACTACCAAGAATTCAGGGTTCTATTTGATCCCAGTTTTTTCTTGGTAAAATCTATGGAATTGGTAATTTTACCGAGAAATCTCGATAAAATTATTGAACTTTCTCGGTAATTTTACGGGACCTTGGTAAAAACGCCAATATGCTGTATCGACTGTGGTAGAATTACCGAGATAAAATGGCAAAGTTACCGGGAATCGATTACCAATAAAAGTGGTATTCTTACCTGAAAAAACAGTAAAAATACCGGTTTTTAGGTAAGCTTACCAGTCTGTCTTGGTAAAATTACCAATAATTGGTAAAAAAAGTGAGATGGTAAAGGCACCAACGGACCGTGGTAAAAACGCCGAGAATTTTTTTTCAGTGTGAGGGCCAAAAGAATGAATGGGAATTCTAAAGCGCCAGTGACGTCAGCGGTAACGACCTTACTCGACGAGCTCGTCGTTTGTCTTCGGGGCGCTTTAGAGCTCATGAGCCCTGTCCACAACGTTTTTGTCACATGTCCACGGCTCACGAGTTAGCGCTCAGTTCCTTTTGATTTAATGTCAAATCCCGCTTTTCCATTCACTCAAAAGGAACTATGGCCACTTTTACATTGTTTCTTGTCCAGCTTCCACGAGCACACCCTATCTTTCCACTTGGACATAGTTCCTTTTAGCAAAAAAACGTCCGATTATTCTTCATTAATAAGTAAATTAAATTCTATTCTGCGACTTCGTACCTTCTATTGGAACCGATATAACTAGACAGCTCCTGATTCAAATTTCAAGATATATGGTAAATCAGAATGTTTCCTGTCAACGTTTCAAAATCCAATTTTTTCGACCTTTGTTTTCCTGTTTGTACTCAAGATTTGAAATACTTACTTCAAACGGAGTACACAGAAGTATAGATATTATCGAGGCTTGGTATTTTAACCTACAAAACGAAGCAAAATGAGATTTATTCGCAGTGACCTCTTTTTAACAAAGTTCATTAAAATCGGGTAAATGAGTGCTGAAAAATGACGCATTGAAACCTCGGTAAATACCTTGAGTAATGATCACGTAACCTTTCGAGCAATATCTTATCCCTTAGAATGGTGCGTGAGGCTAACAGAAACATTCACCCAACCTACGCACAGTGGATTCAGTCAATAGGAGAGGTCGGACAAAATTTGGAAACTTTAAAATCTTATAACTCCGTTTATACAAAATATTGAGGTTCTAAAACTGGTATCATTGGGTTTCTCGTGAAATTTTCTTCAAGAGGCACCCCTTGAAATTAAAAATGTGACGAAATAAATATCAAAATGTGCAGTTTTAGTCAAAAATTTCATGTCCGATCTCTCTTATTGACTCGATCTACTGTGCTCCAGAGCGATACGTATTTTAAGGATGCGCTAACGTTCTTTTCATTTCTGTGTATACCTTCAAGTATTCTCTTCTCCCCCTCTGCCTTCGGTCTTGAGTAGGCCGCGACGGAGATCACTGTGTGTCGTTCCAATTTACACGGCTCTACAAAGCCGGCTGCTCGGAGACTAATTCTTGGCCGAGGTTTTAGTGGGATTTAAATCCCACTTCAAGGGTCTCAGGGCGAATGGGGGAACGCGGGTGGGTCGGAGGCATGAAAAGATATAGGGCAATGAGCAGAGGTTGGGATGAGTCAATCTGGGAGGTGAAGCGGCAAATGACGCTTGAGCCCCGGAATGCCCGCGAATAAATGAGCGGGAATCACGTGGATGAAGCGAAGAAAAGGCGCCCGGGAACGCGGGAAAAGCGAGGGGGACAAAAAGCACCGGAATGAAGTTTAAAGAATTAGACAGTAAAATAATGGTCAAAAACTTTCCCTCCATTTTTTTCCCGGCTGCCACGGATAAGTTGGAAGGATAAAGCGCCGCCAGTGAGTAGCCCAACTTTTCCCCCACCTTTCCCGAACGACCTTGCCAGACCCCCCGCGAATATCCACCCTCCTCGGCTTCAATTTCGTTCGAGCTCACCTACATTAGGCAACGTCGATGTCAGAATCCCGCTTGACATAATTTAATATTAAAATGGATTATGAGATTCCATTTTTCTCATCGAGTCAGGTCTTGAAACAAAGGAATCACACTCGTCGCCTTCTTTTTTGTGTATGCAATAAGCACAACTCATTTATGTTAAAAAGGTGGTATTATGCGACCGGCAGGCGCTCTGTATCCGTTGACGTGCCATTCTTCATTAGCTGGCGGTTCAAGTGGCCTACCTTTCCTCGGGTTCTCCCTTTTTGCCGATGAATAAGTAGATCCTTGATATCAAGGATTTCCACCTCAGACAAGATGAATGGCGGTGAATGAGAATTATCTCTGATGAATTACTCGAAAGTTACTGCGCGAATCGCATTTCATTGCTTGCATAACTCCAAGTGCATCGTAGTTTGCCTTTCTGATCTCTTGTTAGAGTTCTTTGGTTTGAAACACTTTGATCTCATTGCATGCCTATTCGCCATCACAGCACACTATTTGCGCTTCGCAAGTAGCATTTATCATAGGGTGCCCCAAAACAACAAAGATTTTTCCCATGAGAGAACTGTTCCACCGATTGAGGTGCGGTTTAAGGTGGGTCTTTAAATAAATCATTGACTTTCAAACTCGTCATGAACGTTTTTATTTAAAAATTTTTCAGGATATACTGATTCAATTCAGACGAAATAAGAGAACGAGTGGCATTCTTTCATGACTGCTCTTATTTCTTCAATATTACAAGTTTAAGGTGATTCGATGGACGCTATATTTTCTGTCAGAACAACATGCGATATATCGCATCGGTTGGTTCCATTTTTTCAGCTACTTGTATTTTTTCTCGAATTTTAAGATCACGGTTCTGTTGTCAGGAGACTAAAGAATTTACTTACCTTTTTTGACCAACAAATTCAAAGAGGGTCCACGGGGCTTCCGTCAGAAAATTTTCGAAATTTCAAAACATTGAAAATCCGATTTGGGTCCATTTCGTATTGAAAGATTACCAAATATACGCTTCCTTCTTTCTTCTTATCTCTGCCCTTCTTCTTACCTCAGTTCCTTCCTTTTCTCTATCTTCCCTTTTTCTACCTCTTATTTCGGACGAACGGAGAGACGTAACTCTCCCCCCCTCCTTGGATCCACCTATGCTCGGGGGGCCTGTCCTCTCCCCTCTAAAGGGGTGGTGACCACCTCTCCCCGAAAAGATGTGATTGTGTAAAGCTGCTCTATACCAATAATCTCCCATGATGGGTAAATGACCCCTCTATGGTTACACTTGTGCAGTGTTCGAAACTCACCCTTGAGTTTTAGGAGCCAAGTGCCGCATCAAGCCCGAATTTTAGGCGCCATTGCAGATTTTTTAGGGGCCAAATTGACTTTTAGCCTATATTACGGCGCATTCAGTGAAAAGTTAGATGCAAGATGTTTTCGTAACAAAACTAGAAATTAGCTGTAACTTGGGGAAGACAAAAGCACAAAGGATGAAATCGTGAAGAATAGAAAAAGCTTTCCCTTGTGGTGCTGAAAATTTCGAATAATCACCTGCTATGAAAATTCAGATTTTTAGGGGGCAATATTTAGGGGCCACGTTGGCGCAGAGCATTCATTTTTTAGGCGCCATGCACGGAAAAAATTTAAATGTTGATTTAGCATTCATACTGTTAAAAAGATGTCCGACAAGTTTCAAATGCTGATTTTACAATACAAAAATGCTAACATAGCATCTGAATTTACACGTTTTGTAGTGGGCGTAGTTACGTTAGCATTTGTTAAAATGTAAAATCAGCATTTGAAACTTGTCGGACACCTTTTTAACAGTATAAATGCTAAATCAACTTTTAATTTCTTTCCGTGTGGCCGATTTTTTAGGCGCATTTGGCGCATTGGCGCCTGTGAGTTTCGAACACTGCACTTACGGCAACAGCTCCAATGATATAAAATGAGCTGTGAAAACCTTTGCTTTCAGGAGGATCAAGACTGGGGATTCGTGGCGATGGTTCTGGACCGGCTATTCCTGTGGATCTTCTCCATCACCTCCATCGTCGGGACTTTCGTCATCCTATGCGAGGCGCCGGCTCTCTACGACGACACTAAACCTATCGACTTGCAACTGTCTTCCGTCGCCCAGCAGCAGTTCCTCCCCGACGTCACCTCCGATTTTTAGTATGATTAATTTAGTCTTAGTGACGATTTTCGCAAGTTGGCAACACTAAATCTCATCCACTTAACTGTGCGTGAATAATGGAGATGTTGCAAAGGTGAGGAATTTGCGATTTGACTGTTGATCCTTATGTAAAAGTTCGCGAGAAACACGATGGTGCCACTGGTTTTCTCTGAAATTGACTCCCAAGCGCAAAAAAAGCTCTCAAGTTGAGGCCGAAATGGAGGAGATATCCCACCCTACCCTGAGAGTCCACGTCTACATCAAGACAAACTCTCCATGCAAAGATAGGGAGCAAATACATTAGCAGTGATGCCGTGTTTTCAATTTTAGAGTCCCCAAATAAAGTGGCAGCCCTGTCGATGTATCTGCTCCCTAGCTTTGCATGAAGAGTTTGTCTTGATGTAGAGGTGGACTCTCATGGTAGGGTGGGATATCCCTCCATTTTGGCCTAAACTTGAGAGCTTTTTTGAGCTTGGGAGTTGAGTTCAGAGAAAACCAGTGGCACCGTCGTGTTTTTCGCGAACTTTTACATAAGAATCAACAGTCAAATCGCAAATTCCTCACACATGCAACATCTCCATTGGGCTCAATTTAAAAGGAGTTAAGGAGTGTCATTCATTACATGCCAATCTCTGCAGTGTAAAAATCAAACGACTTCATGTACCTTTTTCTCAGGATCTGCTGGATGGATTTTCCTTTTTTTCTCTTTTTTTACGCGTTTGACTGCGCCTCACTTATTGTTAGAATTGATTATTTTTGCGGATTTAACTGGATGAGAAATAGTGTTATTAACTTCTACGATTCTGCAGTTGGCATTGATTTCGTGAAGGTCCAACTCGATTAAGCTTGAGCAATTGCGATTTTGCAAGTTTGAAACACTGTTTTTTCTCCCTTTGAATTAAAAGGAAATATTGATTAAAGGCGAAAAAATCGATTGTTTTACATTCATTTACATGGAGGAAAAATAGTGTTGCCAACTTTCAGGTGTCGCCACTACGTTTTTTGGCAGTGACACGGTGATTCAGGATTAAATTATACGCACTTAAAGGAATCGGATCCAATCTTACATGAAAAGCGTTTCCTTGCCAAAGCTTCATTGCGCTCAGTGAAGTACTTTTTGCAATTAGGGAACGGCTTGTTTTGGTATGTAAAATTTTAATCGCGGCAACGCAAATTTAAACTAATCGAGGTGAAATTTTTCTGGCTGTGATGAAACCGTTTAGTTTCAAAAAAAAAAATTATTTGAGACGAAAACAAATTTTCTCCTCATGGCAATTTATATTCCTGTGCGCAATGAAATTATACAGCTTAATTAAAGAGCCCTCCTTTTTAATTAGAAGCAACGTTAAAAACATGCTAGCGAAGTCACCACCTTCTAGATAGTCATTTATTTGAAAAAAAAAATCGATAATTCATCGAACTTTTCTCATTTGGGAGGGAAAAAATGGTCGTGTTGCACAATACTTTCTTCTCGATCGCTTTCTTTTCAGAGTCACAGCTTGCCATATTTTGAAGGAGGGGATCCACTTTTTTATAATAATGACAACACTCATATTTATAACCATATATAAAATGAGGGAAAATTTATCATTTTTCACATCATGATAGCAAAAATTGACGATGAAGAGGGTTTGAGGGACAGTTAAAAAGCTAATCCTCTTTTTGACGTCCCATAAAGCACCCACTTGGAATAAGTTTTCTCCTCTCCGATCAAAACTGAAAGCAATGGCAGAAATTGCCATAGAAGATTAATTTTTATCCTTAAATGTTATTTGTGAATTTGCGATGATGATAAAGTTGTTGTTTAAACGAAGAACTAACCGGTTTCATGTTGATTTAGCAACACTTGTAATATTTTTATTCGACTTTTTTTTATCAGAAATACTTTTCAAGATTTTCGACCTTTAAAAGCAAGGATTGTTACCGTTTCTCCTTATTATCAATGATGATAATTGGAGATGTTGGTAATATAAGGAATTGTTTTCTCTGTATTTTCTCTCCTCCCCCCCCCCCCCCGAAAAAAAAGTTATCATAAAAAAACCAATTTGCCTTCTCAACGTTTACATAGTCGTAGCTTAGGGAGACGGCAGATTCGGTGGCCATGCTCCACTATGAAAAAGAAGTATTTTAACGAACAAACAAAAAAAAACTACTAAGACAATGGAACTTCATCCTGAATCACTTATATAGCTTGCAATTTGACGCGATCCGCTGAAAGGAATGTGCACTTTCACTCATTTTGAAAACTATCAAAGGTACTATTTTCTTGTACAGTTCAACTTCATGAATGAGCCAGAACAATTGGTTCGTTATTGTATACTATATAGTCGGGTCAATGATTAAAGCGCACTTTACGCCAGTGCTAACGCCTCTGTGCGAGCTCAGTGAGCTTTAGTGCAATGTTGCATTTGCGAAAATTGAAGGCGTTTCGAATTTTTCTATCTTCAGCTCATAACTATGTAATAGCAAGACAGACTTACCCTCATATAACTCCATACCGAAGTTGACGGTATCAAATTGGTTGTTAATGTTGCATACCTGAAGAAAATGAAGGCGTTTTCACTCCTTCAGCTCTGAGGCGCACTTAAAGGCTTAGACCCGATGCGCTTTCCAGGCTTCGTAACGTCACTACAAACACAAGGAGATGACCATTCTCTCCCCATCGAAGAACTTCGTTTTGCATGGGGACCGTGGCGACTCTCGTGAGGTGGCCGCACTGAAATTATTCCGTTTGAATTGATGTTCGAACATTAACTTGTATAAAATGTGTCTATGTTAAATGAATGTGAAATAATTGATATTTATTGAGGCAGGCTGTGTCATCTGGATTATTTACAATGGATGATTATAGAAGAAAAACAGCGTGGCAATTTGCCGGAATCCCCACTGCGCTGGTGAGAAAAATTGTGGTGAACTCGTTGTTCTAACATTTATTTGTATGTCAGCTGGACTTACTGCAAATTGTGAATGCAGACTTGATTATTTTTATGATATGTTTTTTTTTTTTTTTTTTTAATTGTTTAAATTTTATTCAGTGTATTCATAAATTGATTGCTGTTTAGAAGCCACAGTTATTGGTCGAAATGGAGGAAAGATGCGTATTAAATTAGCAAGTTTCTCTGTTATACCGGGCTTAAAAATACTATATGGGTATGTTGCTTGGAGGCGATATAGCCGACTGAATACTTATCTAACAGTAAATTCGCTCGAAAATCACACGAGGCTTATCAAAAAAGTCTGAAATCCACTCCTTAGCCTATAATCTGCGTAGTTTGTAACACGCTTTTTTAAGTTTCCTGCGTCTGCTGGCAGTTTTGCTCAGTCACCGCCAACCAGGATTGCACAGGCAGAGGGGTAAGCAACTTAGGGTAGTTATTACTACCCTAAGTAAACAAACGATTAACTAACTTTTTCTATGGCATGATCTCAATTACTTTCAAGCGTTTATTTCCTTTTTCTATCTTAATTTTGAAAAAACAAAAGCTTTGAATCCTTTGAAATCTTCCGCAACAAGAGTGTATGACAGTTTCCAAGATTGTTTGTTTACCTAGGTAAAATCTCTCTTCGGGCAAACCTGACTGCCGGTCGCCATGAAAAACTGCCCCCATCCACGGTAAATTTGAAAAAAAAAAACGTGTTACAAACCCTCAGACTGCGCGCCAAAAAGTGGATTTCAGACTTTTTAGATGTTCTCAGCGTGATTATCGAGCAAATTCACCCTGAAAAAGTATATACAGTTGACTGTATCTCTTGCTCGCAACAGACCCATTGAAAATAAAATACCAACCGACCACCCCTCTCCAAATTTTTCTCGTGACGAGAGCAATCATCGCAGGTTCTCAAATTGCTCACCACCCAAATGGTGATCATATTGCCGGAAGCCTCATGGCTCATTAAAATACAAACGTGCAATTTTTTGTCTATTCCTGGAATAATAAAAATTAATTTCTCATATTCTTGGGATTTGATGAAATATTGAAGAGCCTGGTTGAATTTTATCGCACAACAGCATAGTTAGGATATTTTTTTTTTGTAGATTTAGAAATTTCAATAATATATCTTGATCTGGCCCATTCATTAAATCACCCTCAAAAACGTCAAAATTTTACGAAATTTCACCCTCATATACATATTTCTCCATCTGCATTCTATGTTTGCTAACTTAAGTCAGCTTTTGTAAATATTAAACTTTAACTACCTACTCTTGTTCGAGATTTTTTTTATAAATGTTCACATTGTTTAAATATAGAATCGTACGCTCAAAATATTTGATCTTGTATTTTTCTTGACTCAATGATAATTGCTTTAATTTAATATACACAACATCTCCGAAAAAAGGAACCACAACGCCGCTAAAGGATAAAAAATCCAAACTTTGCATTCTATTTCAAGAAGGTAACTTAATTTCTCGGTCATAGACACCGAACTTCGTCTCAGAAAACCGAGAAAATCGGGGAAAAATACGAGTCTCAATATGGATATATGTATTAAGGTAATTCGATGGACGCCATATTTTGTGTCAAAAGCTTTTTCAAAAGTCAGCTTTTAAGGGACATCCGCAAAAATCTTCAGGAATTATATCGTTAGGGGTTTTTTTGGCTACAATTAAAGAAAATCTCCTTGTCAGAGTTTAACAAGGCTTGATAACTGCCCTCAATAATATACGTGGCGTACATACAGTTGGAGAGACGTGTTTCCCTAAGATTCTTATGAATGTCCCTTTAAAGTCGACTTTTGACAAAGTTTTTTTTTTAACTATAAGCGCATCATCTAACTAAAACCAAATCAGGTTTAAAATGTATCCTAAAGCCTCCTTGATAACATATCAAAAGCTCGTTTTAGTTAGACGATGCGCTCGGCGTCAAAAAAGCCTCGGAGAGATAGAAAAACACGCATTTGCGATAAAATGCGCCTGCAGACTATCTTCCGGCAACCGTTTAACACGTATCCATTGGCCTTTGGACCAAATCATGATTATTTCCGGAAACTACATTGAGTTAACTTGGAAAACCTGCATTTATTGCAAGATTCTAGGGGGGACCAAAAAAGGCTCTTATTGATACCGCCCTCCTATTGAAACGTCGCATGGCGCCATGATGCCGTGCTAAGGAAAAACACCGTATGAGCATCCGAGCGTTGCCAAATTGCCTTCGATAAAATGTTTATTTTTGAGGAGCGCCATGGATATTTTCCTTTGAAGTTTTCAGGAATTTTAGGCGAAACTGCGAACAAAATTATCTGAAAAATTGGAGGAAAAATATTTAAAAATTTACCCTAAATTTGTGATTTATCAAAGGAAATTTGGCAACGCTAAAGGCTCATACTACGTTTTTCCTCCGCATGGCAGCATGGTGGCATGGCTTTGGCCGGAGGATGACGATGTATGGAAACACATATTTTTCTAATGTCCTATGAGCAATAATACCCAGCTTCACAGAAAGTTTTGGTCACATGCTATATATTTACAATCACAGCATATCATCGGTCTACTTCAAAAGAGCAAACCTACATGGCATTACTAGAGTCCCTTTATACTGAGAGTCAAGACAACACCCCTAATGGAGTCACAAACGGGAATAAAGATTACAGAAATTGAACGTTCTTTGTAATCTTTGATCGGCCCATTCTTAAATTCCTTTCTCCGTTCCTTCTCTCATTCCGTTTGTTCCTTGCCGAACTCGTAATTCCCTGGTCCATTACAGATTATAATCTTTGCAATTGGTGAAAATGTAATCTTTATTCCCGTTTGTGATACTGTGAAGGCCTAAAATACGGGAACAAATCAGAAATGGATTCACATTGTCTTGACTCTCAGTATAAAGGGACTCTAGCATTACTATGTAAATGCAATTCTCAAACGAGGAGGGAATCACATTATGATTAAAATCACAGCTAAAGAAAAGTCTGCGTATTGATTCAATCATCGTCATCACCAGCCATATCGAGGCTTGGATGTTTCTTCTTTATGTGCTCATTGAGGCTGGATTTCTTCCCATACTTTTTCTGACATACAGGGCAGGTGGTCGCGTCCGTGTGAGAGGCCTTATGCTCGTTCAGGGCCTGCGTTCTGGAGTAACGTTTATGACACACATCGCACTCGTGAGGTTTGATTTCGGCACCGCGAATTTCCATCTCAGCTGAAACAAAGCAACAGTCTGAGTTCCTGAATGGATCTAAAATGCTTTCGCAAAAGTACTTTTAAAAAGGAATAAACATCTCCTTCCGGAAGCACTATCAAAACCAGCGTTTTCGTCAAAATTGAGTCATTAATAAATTCGAATTCTTAAATCCATCCACTAGAGAAATATTGTCTAGTCTGAAAGAAAGTGCCAAAGCCTAGAACCGTCTCTAACTCAGCCTCCATAAAATGAAGTTCAAGTCAAACTCATTAGCTTGATAAATATCCTGAGGTATTTATTAGATGCTTTCCTGTTGATTCGTTTCATCCTCATGCACTGGAAAAAAAAACACATTGGATCTAGAGTCCAGAGTCTTGAAAACATTGACAAGAAAAAGGACTCTTGATTCAATCAGATTATTAAGCTTAAATCAAAAGGAAATCCGCTCAAATTAAAAGGCTTGGTTCTTGATTTAAGGTCTTCAGGTCTTGATTGAATCAAGAGTATTTTTCTTGTCGATGTTTTAAGAATCTGGACTCTAGATCCAATGTGTTTTTTTCAAGTGTGCAACACTGAACTTTGAAGAAGTAAACCTGACTTTAGTTTTTTCGGTTATAGGACATTTTGTCAACGATTTTTTGTCCGAGCACTTGTTTTTTTCAGTAGTGTAAGTCCACGCGTTTTTTCGGCAGGGGAGTTTTGGTCCACTTATCAATTATTGAGACCCAAAGTTAAGTGGTCAACATGAAAATACAAACAACATTTGCTCACGACGTTCTTGGATGAAATGTATAATGTCTTGGAAGAATGAGGGTTTGCTCGTCTTTTGTTTGTTTGGTTGGCCAAAGGGAAACAAATATATAATTGAGAATTTTGGCGTCAATTCCATGAGGGAACATTCACTAAAACTCTCTACACCATTTTGGTGCAACAGGACTTAATTATATTTCAAGAAAATCCCATCCTCTTACACCTCAGCACACACTTTTCCTCAGCTTAAAGGCTCTTAGATTTTTCCTGTGTACAATAACTTCGCGATGGCGCCGGCGTGACGCGAGGCTTCAAACTACTATTTCGCCATGAAGGTGTTGCACAGTATCATACAAGATTGAAGGCACCCCAACGTATCATGATTGATGGCATCTTTCAAAAGCACGAAGCTCCCTCGCAAATTAAATCGAGTGACGACTAAAAAGAGAGAGCTATAGTCGAAAAACTTGCTAAGTCCTAGTATCTGGATCCAGTAATGTTCAGCATGGTTTTTGAACTTAATTAGAGAAAAAAGTGACTTGATACAAGCAGATATGCTCTTTACCGCCGGGAAGATTTCCTTATAAATCAATAAAGAAAATAATGCATGTTTAGAGAAAAAAGGATGCTTAAATAAAAAGAAAAGTCACTTAGATCAAGCAGAAACCCGTTTTCATTCATATTTTATTATTGATTCAAAATAAAATCTTCTTGACGGCATACTCAATAATGTTGCTGCCTAAATCGAGTCACATTTTTCTCTAATGAAATTCAAAAATTATGCTAAAAGTTATTAAATACGGAAGCTGGGACTAAGTGAGTTTTTTAGATTACCGCTTTCTTCTTGTAACGTAGTATCTTGATTTATTTTGCAAGGAAAGCTCTGTACCCTTAAAGGAAGCTTGCCATTCTTGATACGTTGGAGCGCCTTCAATCTCGTATGTTACTGTGAAGCACCTTTGTCGCGAAATAGTTGCTTGAAACGCCGTAGCACTCCTCGGCGCGGCGCGGCGGGCGACCAGCGTGACATGCGCATAGGCGCCTACAAACCTAACAGGGATACTTCACGCATTGTGGAACGCGTGAAGTATCCCGTTAGTTTTGGAGGCGTCGGTGCGCATTCGCTATTAGGCTATAATATTTAAACTCGCGGAGTCAGCGTTTTTCAACTCATGATTTTCAAATGTTTGCACGCTCTGCATGGATTATTCTCATTTAAGTTGATGAAAAAAAAATATGTATTAAAGGAAAATATAACGTGTCTTTCGAAAATATTTAGGTGGATCCGTGTCTAATTTAATGATTTCCAAAGCTTTTTAATTTTTCCTATATATTTTGTGCTTTCACTGTGCTGCAGCGTGGTGTCTTCGCAACCAAACGCTCAAAATTTGACGTGTTTGACTGTGAAAGATCGATTTAAAAGTGGGATAAGACAGAGATTGCGTCTTCCTTGGTTTTTTCGCTCTTTTTCATTTTTGTGTAGTTCCTTTCAACACAAGTACGGCTCATTGAGATTAGTATCCATGCCATCGCTTAGAAAAGGTTTTACAAATATTTGCCACGTTTTAAAAATATAATGTTTTTAAAATGAAATA